AGGCCCCCCTCCCCCTCCGCCCCTGGTCAAGAGTAAGGAGCTTCTGATTTGGATCACTATTTATGATATCCAAATTTTGGATGCCAATCGATGCAGGTCGAAAACGTGAACAATAATCAAATGCTTTTGTTCGTAACACACAAACATGTGTTAATCGAATTTCGCTCAAACACACGTGAGAGTTATTAAAATCTGTCAAATAATGGGGAAAAACTATAATTGTGTAATTTACAAACTCCTAAACACATATTTAAAGACTAAAAATAAATCTTAATCAAATTGAAACCCTAATTCTGTAGATAAATTAAAATGAAAAAAACTAAAAAACTATTAAAATGACAAAAAAAAACCCTTGAACTAACTAAAAATAGAAGAAAAAAAGTTAAAACGTACCCCCTAAACGCAATTTGAACTCAAAAAATTGACTATGCTTATCGAAGGCCAATTGTCATTCTGAAAAAATGTGAAGAATCGAAAAATTCTTCAGGATTGTACTCGCTCGTGAAATTCTGACAACAGAGATGAAAGTTACACATGTTTTCGTAAATCCTTCTTATTCCTCTATTTTCTAATTGGTTTAGAATTTTCTCTTCTAACTAGTTCGCATCACCAGTTTTGGGAAAATTACATTCGGTATCCCTACTAGAATTTCCAGAAATTTTCCAGTGTTATTTGAGGTAGAAGATGAAAAGGTGAATAATTAATTAAGCGGATAATTTTCCATATGATATGGAGAGTAATGTCGTAATGAGATGTTTATGTTATTTACATAGGATAATGGATTTGCGTTTATACACGTACTTTTACTATTGAGTATTGTTGCTCAAGGTATAGCTACATAAAAATCTTGTTCCAGTTTTAACATAGTGGCATGTTACGCTAACACGATCTTTACAAGTCAAAATATGTAATTATTGCATAACAGGATAATTAACGAGCCAATTAAAGTCTATACTCTCCAAGTAAGAAAACACTTCCAAGTTAAAAATAACGTTACATTATGTAGTGAACTAATTGAAAAATTATTGGAATTTCAGTTATCAGTGTGAAATGAAACCTTGTTCGAAGTTGAGTGACATCCATTTTTTTTTACCCTTCTCCACACATGCTCTTTTTTTTTAAAATGTTGGGCATAGGCTTAAAATCTCAAAATAAATCAATTTTCTTCGAAACTAAAAACTAATAAAAATTGAATCTTTGAACTCCCTAAATGTAATGATAGCCCTTTTTTGTCAATTTTTTTTTTTTGACTTTGGCCAAACAATAAATATTTAAAACAAATGCAGTCTTAAAATTCAGAAATTTTTTTATGCTTTTGAAAAAGCCCTTCCAAGCACACATGTTATAAAAGTACAAATAAAAAAGGAAAGAAAAGAATATCTGAGATTTGTTATTTTGGAAATCCAAAATACACCATTTTATAAAATGAATGATAAAAAGGAGGAAGAAAAGAAGTGAGTTTGACAATCAGGCCCTGTTTGATCTACATTATTTTTTTCATTCTCATACTTCTACTCATTTTCAACCACACATTTTTCAATAAAATAATATTTTCCATCACATCAATAACTTTTCCTTATTCTTCAACCACACATTCTCCATCACATCAACAGTAAAAATGCATTCTTACCTTCAAAATGTGCACCGAACGGGGGCTCGGTGTCAAATACTGTCTCATTTTAACGTCACAAAATTGTAGCGATGAGTCAACATTTCATTGAAGAAACGTGTAAATGTACAACAAAATGGGGATAGCATACCTAGGCTCTAGCCACATCCCATAACCTGCCCTTCTGTAAAATCTCATATTTTCAGCCAATTTTGACAAATAAGCTGCAAAATAGCAACTTCTTTTGCAGAGAGAAGCAAAGCCAAACATGATCTAAAGTACAAGAAGATAGCCTAGAACTTAAGAATACATGAATAAAAGCAGCAATATATCATACACATATTTTGATTGTTGTTCAACAATGAAATTCAACCTCTTTTTGCATTCTGCAAAGAGTAACATACATTTTGCCAACAAGACAGAACAAATATATCTTCTCCATCTATGCAGCATTGTCCATTGTTGTATACCATACATGCATATTGTCGCTGGTAGTTGCCAAACAAGAAATAGTTTTTGGTTATACCCACTTGCTACAACAAAGATGTATTACTTTAAACTAACTTAACCATATTATGAGCTTGTTTGGCACAGAGATTTTCTAGTGAAAAATGAGATTTTTTTATTTTTTTTTTGGAAAATGTATGGTTGGGGGGGGGGGGGGGG